CATTTTTTTCAGGTTAGATTGCTGTTTTTACCCTAAACGTCGTCCAATAAATTTTTGTTGCAGCCTACTAATCTATACAATTTCGAAGGAAAATATTCAGATGCTTCACCGTCCCCGAAGGGGGTTCTGTCCTGGTGTACCGGTTCACAAGGGAATTACCATTGTTCTTTCTTTGTTTAGGAGTTATCGGTTAGCTATTGTGTATTGTTTGGTCTTTTGTATTGGCTCTTGTGAACCGGTACACGAGGACAGAACCCCGAAGGGTCTCCACTCATCGAAGCGTGTACTGTAGCCAATGTAGTGAATTTTCAGTCTCTTGTTGGGTTTGTCAACCTCCGTGACTTCAATATCATACAATTTTGTATCTTTTCTCTGGGAAATGACCTTTTTGACAGGGGTGTATGCTGAGTATTCGTTGCAGAGTCGCTTTGGTTCTCTTATCTCTCTCTTTGGCTTGTCCGCCATTTTGAAAATTTACTCAGGAGGGCATCTGGGTTAGCGGCCGCGCTAGGCTAGAACCGACAAAAACAAATGTCCATCGCAGTGGGGAAACAGTTTGATATGTTTACACGAACGACGAGAGCATAGTGCGTACGGCCACGGCCAAGGCTTGGCCCCGGGCACAAAAACGTGTACCCAATGCGTTACATTTCCTGCTCAAAGTAAGTTAAGATGGCGTTATTTTGCTAAAGTTTACTCACATCTTAGCCGCGGCGGCCAAATGGCCTTCTTCTTCTTCTTTTATTTATTTATTTATTATTTTGACAGGACCCTAAGGACAACAGTGTTACACACTGATGGGTTTTCAATCCTGTATAAAAATTCGTTATTATTATTATTATTATTATTATTATTATTGACGTCACAAACAAGGCTACTACGGCGGCAAACCTCCCAACGACAGCAGCCGGAGGTAATTCTGGCAGTAAACTTCAATTCCGCTTGCCGTCGTCGGATCTTAAGCCTATTAACCTCCTGGTGTGGCGCTAGCTGTTTACAAAGCAAAAAAGACATTAATGAGAAATAATGTAATAAACTTCTACTGCTCAAATATCAAACTAAAATTCTCGTTTGTGCATTACAATAGCGTTATACATCTATTTACAAATTAAAAATACTTCACGTAAAACTAAAGATACGATAAAAATTAAATGATAATTACAATAAAATAATAAATTGGTAATCGAAATTACAACTTTCTCACTGAAAACGTCTGTTTAAATAAGTGAGTCATCAGTTTCTTTTTAAATTCATGAATGTCATTAGTGTCTCTTATGCTCTCTGGTAGAGCGTTCCATAGTCTCGGGGCAGCCGCACTAAAAGACTTATCACCAAGCGCGGCGGATCCAAGACAATACCTACCCTTTTGTTTAATGGTAATTAGCTCACTGAGAATAGTGCAGGGCTTTTCCGTGTATTACCTCAAGGGTAATTAGTAGAACTTTAAAATATATACGGTATTTCCCTTGTGTGGCAATACACTAACGAGCGAAGCTGGCGAGAAACTCCTAATTCTCCCCATTTGAGTTTTCAAAACATATCATGACGGAGAAACTCGATAAAGCTGTTGAAATTAATTGAACAATTTCTTAACTGGTGGTTATGAATATGCTCTTGATCGCAGGGGACCTGATTAACCGCCCCCCGGTTAGCTCAATGGATAGAGCGCTGGACTGTTGTGCGCGAGGTCGAGGGTTCGAGCCCCGGCCGGACCAACACTCTGCGTCTCAAAATAATTATAATCTTATAAACCATAAATCAAAATTCTAAATCATAACTTAGGGCCTGTTTTCTGGTTCCTCCTTCCTGCGGCAGGAACCGGTCGGAATCTGTTTCCCGCAGCATCATTTCCAGCAAGTTAAGCCATGATCTTCCATCTTTTCGAGTCACTCTCGAAATTGGTGCCAATCAGGGGTCTAATAACAGGTTCAAGATCACGTTCGCAGAGCTGCACTTCCTGCCACTGCCTGTAAACGTAAGTTGTGTTTAATTTATTTCAGGTGGGCATACACTTGCATCATCCACGGGGCTTTCCATTGGTGTAACACCACTTTTGTCTTTAACAGAAAAATTTGGTGAGTCAACAACAGACGGAGCAGGGCTGCTCTGGGTTGCTGACTTCGTTTTTCGAGGCGGGGTGTCACTTTTACAAAATGCATCTCTTATGATCTAATACTATTCTTACTGTATATAGCATACAAAAGTTTTAAACTGCATAATAATAATAATAATAATAATAATAATAGTGATAATATTTATATATACCGCGCAAATTCAACTATGCAGTTTTCAAATGCGCCTTACAATTTTAAAAAGATAAAAAAGTAAAATACAGTTTATAAAATGTAACAATATATAGTCAAAATTACAGGAATGAATATTTATCTAGTCTATAAATTACAATAATATATCAGAAAAGGCTTTTTTATAAAGTTGAGTCTTCAAATAAAGTTTAAAAAATTTAAAATTGGTGGTGCATTTTAGATCTAAAGGAAGATTATATCACAGTTTTGGTTCGGCGGCTACAAAGGCTCGGTCACCAAGAGTAGGAAGAGTCCTGAAGTTTTGATTTGAGAGCAGATATTTGTTATTTGATCTGAGGCTGTAGGAATAATTAGGTTCAAAGTTTACGAGAGATGATAATTAAGAGCTGTACCGTGGATTGCTTTATGTGTGATTATAATAATTTTATACTCTATTCTAAACGTTGCAGATAGCCAGGTGTAATTTGTATAATATTAGTGTGATGTGGTAATACCGTGGTGCTAGATATAGGAATCAGACCTGAAAAAAATCAGGCCTGTACGGGATTCGAACCACTGACCTCTGCGATACTAGTGCAGCGCTCTACCAATTGAGCTAACAAGCCAACTGGGAGCAGGCCGTTAAGTTGATTCGTAATAAACCCGTGAAAGTGATAAATAAGATACAATGAAAAATATATGAAGTTCATANCTGATTTTCGCTATTGCTTAAATAGCGCTATCTACTGCGAGGATCGTGCATCATACCTATTGCTTATCAATTGGCATAATTTGCTGAACTGAGTGCCTTTGGCTCTCAGCTGCACAACTTACCCTGCATTTCGGCACTGGCCACAGAACTAATACAGCAGTTATTTAAAGAAGCTTCTCCCGAAAGAAACGGACGACACAGAGTTCCCTAATGAGTACGTTTCTGTAGGGCTGAGCAATCTGTTATGTAGGCTGTCAAGCTTTTTTCTTCTTTACACTTTGTAATTGCGCAAATTTTGCTTTTGTTTCCTTCACGAACGTTCAGAGAAAGTGCGCAACACAGCAACGGCTTTTTGATTCAGACTTTTCATTGTTTTATATTAGTGAAAAAAGGCTGATATTTACTGGACTAAGATACATTTAGCCTACTAAATTCTTCATTTTAGCCTGCGAAATGAGCCTCAATCCCTGACTAAGTCTATTTTGTGGTACTAAAAGTGTTTTTTAATAGATTGACAAGCGGCCAGAAAACCGTTTCTAACTTAATAATCCTTTACAAAAAGTTACTCCGAAAGGATTAAGAGAACGAGAGGTATTTGCAGTTAACAATTGCATTAATCTACGCAGCTTTCAATCATTTAATATCTGACATATCTTGAATTGTAAAACGCTGAGCAAAGTTTGATTTCTACCATAATTACCAATTTCGCTAATTCTTTGAAAGTCCTTCGAATTTGGACATCTCTACCAAAAGTTACAAAACAGATACCGAAAGGAATTCGATGATTGATGGTTGCATTAAATCTCTTTGTGACAACCTAGAAAAAGCGTCAGAATCTTAGATTTTACCAGTTTTTATCTGAGAAAGCATTTACTCTCAGCTATAGACAAGGGTAGACATCATAACGTGACGTTAAAATTTAATACTCGAAATGTTACGAAGACTAAAAGGATACAAAGAGAGAATTAATTCCTCAGAAAATAAGCTCAGAGCTCATTTAAATACTGAAAATCAAAATTTACTTGCAGATGAAGAGTACATTGCAATTCTCAATCTGCTCGAGTTTAATACACGATGGACCTCTCTGGAATGCAAGAATATTGCACAAGCTGGTCGGTGCACCGCCAAACCACACACGGCTTCTTTTGTTTTCCAAGCTGAGCTCTTCGTGCTCTTAAAACTGCATTCAGTGTTTTGTGTTTAATGGCTTATCTTTTCTTAATCGTCCAGCAGCCGCGGCGACATTCTTTGACTTCTTTGAAAGCGGATATCGTTTAGAACGGTTCCCAGTCTTGTCTTCATGTGTTTTCATGCTAACAGGGTTATCCAAGTCCTCCCAACATTCTTTCTTCTTTGAATATCTTCTCGTTTTCATTCTTAACTTGCTTTAAACCAACTACTTTCTTGCAAATCTGTCTGGCGAGTAATTAAAGTAATTAAATTTAACTAAAAAAAACGCATTTTCATTTGCAACTTAAATGGCCTTTAAAGACAATTCAAAATGGACACTTAAGAGTTTCTTAAAACTTGTGTATCATTGACTATTTCAATTTAAGGTAAAGTTTATTTCTATTTTGAGGTTAAAAAAAAGGAGTGACAATGCTAAGCCACCATACTGATGTTCTTGGTAGAAACACAGCCAAAGATCTTGATGAAGAATCTTTTGTTTGCGTAAATTGACGGACTTGCCTTATTTTGACGTCGAATTGAGTGTGCCAGAATCCCCGACCCAATCATATGCTGTCATTTAGCATGCTATATTTTTAATGATGTCCTTGCTTACGTATATTCTTATATTTTCCGTTGTGTTCTATCCAGTGGTGAAAACGATTTGGCTTACTATTTGAGCATTTAACAAAATCAACAAACTAAATCGCGACTTTCGATTCATTGTATGAGCCTTATAACATCATGCCCGTACACATAATCGTAAAACATTCATTTCAATTTAGGTGTGATATTAGAATGTTTGTTTGAATTATGTCAATTGGAGCTTAAAATTAATTTTTTCATCGCCGAGTGGCATGTGGCCACGCATGATCGATTTTGTCAACCTCACAACTTCACGTGTAATTTATTTGCTTTGAACCTTCGCTCCGAAAGATGCTGGAAACGTTACTAATCGTAATACGAGGCTGTTTTGGTTTTGCCTTACTCCTAATGGTTCTCAATGCACCACAAACTCGTACGTATTTACTCAATATACCCCTTGTTCCATTTTGATTTCTGTGAAGTTTATTATTGTGGTTTGTCGACATATTTTCAAATTAAGTAAGGTTGCTGTTAAAGCAAATGGATTTATAGTATTTCCATAGACCTAGAATTCAGTGTGGATGTATTGTTGCTTTTACTGATATCATTTCAGAGTCCGTTACATTTACAACCACACCACGCAACCCAACAGACGTTGTAGAGGGATTGAATAGTGGAAGAGTTTCTCTTGTTTGGAAAGTCTGTCTTAATTCTCGAGAAAACTTGCGGAATATTACCATTGGAAGAAAGAGACCCGATGGAAATCAACTGACAACAATAGCTACGAAACCAAACGCCAATTCCTCTCTCCTTGTAGACAGGAAATTCCAAAAATTCTACATTGCAAGATCTCCAGCAACCCTAGTCTTAAAAAACGTGAGAAGAACAGATGAATACATATACTCTCTTGAAATATTTTATTCTGATGGTATTCGCATCGGTCGGAAAGAAACAGACGTCCTTGTTCGTGTGTTTGGTGAGTATGAAACCACTTCCTTTCTCATTGTTACTCATACGGTTGAACTGGTTGTGTGATTAAGTCCTTAGTGATAAAATCAGGAACCTATGTCTATATCTCTAGGTATTCGTACTACAGCAATTGCACGTTCTTCGTTTAAGAGATAACGTGCAGCTCTTACGTTTCTCATTTGAACTGCAGGGAGGGAAATCGTACTGATACAAGAGAAATCTGGCAATAAATATTAGCTGTGGATGTTATAGCAACAGAGTAAATATCGAATTCAGACGGAATATATATGAGAGGTGTTTCTTGATATTGGACGTAAATTGTATTTTGCATGACGTGAATGAGATGCAATGATGTAAATTTTCCCATTGAGTTGAGCTGAAAATATACCTCAATGTAAGGCACATGTCAGGGTTTTGCGTCAGTAGTTAGCGTTCTCTTTTTTTATCATGAGAGCTTCTAATTTTGGAATATATAGTTCATGTGCTAAAATTAATTCAATCTTTATCTCTGCGATGTTAATTGTTTTCCAGCACTATTTGCTCTTTTAATATGAAGTTTGTGAGCCGACTTCCTCGGCGGCTCTACGCGCTTTGTCAACCGAGAGCACAAAAAAATGTTAAGGCAAGATTAGTAAGCATATCTTATGTAGGTGTGTTTACAACATCAACTTTAAACAGAGTTAACACTTGTAGAATAATGTAAATGACATAACCTCGTGTTTAGGTATTTCTGTTGCCGGTCAAGCATTGAATGAGTTGAAAATGAATTGTTTGTTTGTTTGTTTTATTTTTTTTGGAATATTGTCATGGTTTTCACTTTTAATGCGCTGACAGGAAAGACATTAGGAACTGTAGCCATAGTATATATCATACCCAGACTGTTGTTACAAAATGGTGCAACCCCGAAATAGTAGGCTGTTGATAATGACGTCCGCATGATGGCGAATTTTATCTTCAGTATGTCAAAAGCTATTAGCGAATAGGCGTTTCTGTACTCTTTAGATTTATAGTATCATGCTACAATTGTATGTTACGTCTATGTCTTTTTCCAGGTGTCGTGTATGTTTCGACGTTAAAGAAAAACAATTGTTGAATCTGGTGAAATCCAATAAACAAAAGCAGCAGCGCCTCAAACGATAACACTATAATTTCCGATGCCCATAATCAACTATAATGCAGACCATTCAGTTTCAGATACTAGTTTGGAAAGGAAATCGATTTTCCCAGAAAGACCGAAAGTAAAGACCAAAAAGAATAAAGGGATTTGTCTAACTGCCACTGTCCTGTAAATTTTATTTCTTTACTGATATATTAACGTATCAACCTTTGCAGTAATTGGCTTGAACCCGGGGGTAACATGTGGAGGTGTAGTCTGATCGTCCGGGTGAGTGTAGTCCTGAGAAGGACTGTTGTCGGTGGTAGTGACTGACGTTTCGACAACCTGTGCGGAGGTCATCATTAGAGTCAAGTGAATGATTGTTGTCAGGAGAATGTTCTGACACTCACCCGGACGATCAGACTACACCTTCACGTATCAACCTTTGTCTCTCAAACAAACTGAATAACTCTTTATTCTACTGACTCCTTTATATTAATATTTTATCCGTGATCCAGTGTGCATTGATAGAGATATATATATATCTTATTAGACGTTTTGTTGTGTAGTATCGCTGAGTATTTTTACGAGTTGTGCCGTATTTTGACGAGCTCGTAGGGCGAGTCAAAATACAAATAACGAGTAAAAATACTCAGCGATACTACACAAAAAAACGTCTAATAAGTTAGACGTTTTTTTAGCATAAATAGTGCTCTCTACTGCGAGGATCGTGCATCATACGTAAGTTATTTATTATCCAACACGCCAATCTGTTAGTCCAGTGCGGGCGAATTTCTCGGATACTTATTTACGGGGAGTGCGTGGCAGAAGTGTGCGAAGCGGAACGGAATTGGCGCGTTGTCGTGTTGCTGTTTCTATTTTCTTCAAGTAAATGAATAAATTTCCTGGTCGTCTTGCTGTTTTTCTTCGTTAGATTCATCTTATAACCTTGGATCTATATTTGCCAGCCATTCTGACTCTTCGTCGTCGG